ATTGAAAGTCTGAATGCCACTTCCACATTGTTTTTTCTGAAGAAACTGAAGAACTTTGTTCTTTTTCCAAAATGTGTTAGAGTCGCCCATTTCTTGATTTTTGGTTGTTTGACCTGAGGATATATTGATCTGGAAGTCAAGAAATGGGTAACTCTAACATATTTTGGAAAAAGAACCGAGATAATTGCGGGTTTTTTCAGAAAACACAATGTGGAAGTGGCATTTAGACCACATGCCACGTTATCTGTTTTCCTTTTAAATGCCAAAAATAAGGTGGACAAATTGGAAAAACCTGGAGTTTATAAGCTTATGTGTCCGGAGTGTAATAGTGTTTATGTGGGACAATGTGTTCGAAACGGCATGCTGAATATGAAAGGTCCTTCAGACTAGGGAAAAATGATTTGACGTTTTCTAACCATTCTACATGATACGGAAATTTTGCACTATGAAAGGAAGGGTTACAAACTCATTTATTTAGAATCCTTGGAAATTCACAAGCATAAACATTGCGGGTGCAACCTGTTAAATGATCAAATTGACTTAGTTCAGTCATCGGTTCTCAAATTAGCATATCCGCATTGTAAAATGTAAATTCAGGTACTCAATCAAGCCCAGTACCTCTATTATTACCTACAAGGGTGCTGTATAACGGCTAATGTAATCAACCATTGTTAGTTTAATGTATACGTTTGAAAATGTCCATATAGGACGAAACTGCAGTAACTTTAGTTACAAATAAAGTGATAAGAAACATAGAAAGTTTCAATTGTCTTTCCTTCATTATGATTTCCTAGTATAGAAACGGCTACATCCATCATTTCATTTGAACATTGAATTTTTTTTCAATCGAATAATAAATAGTATTCACTAACCACTATTAAATTCATTTCATAAAACGTCAATATTGAAACTTTTTATAAATTACCTGTTTTCCATGAAGTAATTTTGTATCATAATTGTTTCCCAAGATTCACCTGATTATCGGAATTAATCAATTATCTAAATAAGTTTTGTAACTACCAACTGACTTTGTTTCCTTAGACGCATCAAGAGCAATGCTATGGGTTTAAACAGGATATCCCTAAAAATGATCAATCACAAAATCTCTTTTCTGATAAACTACTTCACCTTCCTCACTCTATCATTATCAGTCGCCGATTTGCAAAATTTTGGAAGGATGGAAGTTTTTTCTGACCTGAGACCAATTACAGTTCTCCCGTGTCTTTCTAAAGTAGTGGAATGGATACCGGAAGATGAGATTATTAATTATGTCAATGAAAATCGTATTAACAAGTACAGTCAAGATTCAGACCTCAGCATAGTACCACCATGGCTCTTCTGTCAATTACCGACGGTATTTTGAAAGCCATAGATGACCGTATTAGCATTTCAAGTCTTAGCATGAAAAGTTAGTGGGATCTCTCAGATACAGAAAAAGACGAATCTCTGCGTATGGCTTATTATATAAATTGGTATTTGGATATTTGAGTTTTGTGAGAATCTTGTGGGTCTGGGTATATTAGTTATATATCTGTTAATGTTTGAAAATATCCATATTAAAATTAATGAATTAGTTTCCTTGTAAAGTTTTTTCAGTTGAGAAGCGCCAATTGTTCTTCAATATTATTTTCAGTAGCGAGTTTTGTACCGATTGTAAGTGATGCAGCTTATTGTTGTAAGTACCATACTATAATACAATATCGAATTATGGATTCTGTCAGAGAGTTATATACTGTTAGCAAGTTTTTTCTTGAGAGCATGTCTCGGAGGTTGTAAAATTTATGCATGAGATGTCTCATTCTTTCAATGACATGTGGCACTTGTTCATCCCATCTCAAATGGTGGTCAATAACTACACCCAACTATTCATTGATGTTGTTTTCTCAATAGTGGGACAATTACAGAATAACTGGTTTGCGCAACTATGTTTATGTAGATACAATTCGATATTGCTTTGCTGAGTACTCGAATTCAGTGAGAAAGTCACGAATTTGTTTTTTTCTGACATTCAAACTGAGTAAATTATCATTCAACTACATCAGTACTTTTTGCAGTTCTATTTCTGCAGTATGTTAAAGATCATGCCATGTTTCACCTTTTAATATTAAAGCTGTCTCATCAGCATAGCAAACTATGTGCCCCTGAAAATCTCTGATCTGTGTAATACTGATTATGTAAGCAACGAACAGAATTGGTCCCGAAACTGTACCCTGAAGCACATCAACAAACATATTCAACTGCTTACTGATTTCAATACCGATTTTCACTCTGTGTCCGCTGTGATAAATAACATCGCATCAACTGTAAAGAGTTTCCCTGTATGCCATATCGAAAGAGTTTTCTCAGTAGTATGTCATGTGACACAGTGTCGAATGCTTTTGCAAGGTCAATAAAAACTGCACTTTGGCATTTCGTCGACGTTTCCTAGGCTTTCACTTTTTGTTCAACAAAATCTAGTATGGCATTTTCAGTACTTTTGTTATTTATAAATCCAAATTGTTGTTGAGTTGTCACGTGATGTTTATTGAAAAAGTCTACTAATTTTTTTTACTGATATCTCGAATAATTTTGCGAAATTGTTAATTACCGAAATTGGTCGATAATTACTAATAACATTATATTTGCCACTTTTATACACAGGAGTTACTTTTGAATTTTTACACTGATGTGGAATAGTTCCGTTTTTGAAGCATATGTTTATTACATGAACAAGTGGGTTCAGCATTTGAGTATGGATGATTTTAAAGTTTCGATGATATTCCATCTGGTCCTGGCGTACACTTGTTTTTCAATATCGAAATAAGTAAAATTAGTTCGCTCTCATTGGTTGGTTCCAGAAATAATGTGAGTGCCACTGTGGGTTCTTCCAAAAAGGTATTTGGTAAATCAATTTTTTCGATATTGGCAGCCATTTCTATTCCCATGTCAGTGAGAAATTTGTTAAATATATCAGCTTTTTCTTCGTTATTTGTTATACAATCACCATTTTCGTTGGTGATGGTTGTATTTTCTACATTGTTTTTGTGGGATGTGGTATTCGAAATATCAATAATTATTTACCACGTCTCTTTGCAATTACCATTAGCATCTTGCAGTTTGTTTATGTAGTATTGATGTTTCGTTTTCCTTAACATGTTATTTGGTTAATTTCTATATCCTTTATATTTCATTTCGGCTTCATTCAAAAGCCTTCTTTTCAGATAGTCCCTAGTTCTGAGTGAGTTCATAAGACCAGCAGAAATCCACGGTTTTATTTTACAATACAGTTTAGTATGTATTATAATAACTTCAGTTGCTAGCCATATGTATCGTTTCAATTTGACAATGAATTTATCATAAGATTCTTGCGTTTCAATATATGATAAGGTATCATTCCAGTGTTCGATTTGTAGTTGTGATTTCAACGTATCAAAATTGATTTTTTTATATTTCTTTATATTTTTTGATGATTCAGTGGGTATAGTTATAAATATGAGAATTGAGTAATGTTCTGTTATAACACTATGTATAACAGATGGCTCAAAGTTTATTTTGTTATGAACGTTATTGTTTTTTCTGATAAAAATATGGTCATTGATTGTGCTCGATTGTCTAGATTCTCTTGTTGGTAGGTTTATACATGAAATGAAACCATTTTCGATCATTATGTTATGGTGGTGATTAACATGTTGTGAATTTGAGTCTGATTTATATACCAACAAACAGCTCGGTTGCTTGTCAATATTGAGAAAATATGTTTGTATGTTATTAAGATATGATTGTATATCAATTGAAAGAAGTCTGTATGAAGCTGTTATACCAATTTCAATATTTTTTTTACATGGATTCTCATGAGCTTTGTTTCAGGTAGGAGGAATATTTCAACATTTGCTGCCAAAGAATTTTTTATATAAACCCATCACCTTGATTAGTTTTTGATTCATTATAGTGAATTGTATAATTTGGTATAGTAAAATCACTTACCGACTCAATGTTCCATGTCTCAGAAAGTACTATGATATCTAATTTGTCAAGATCCTCTTGTAAATTAATGAATAGTTCATCAAAATGTTTTTTTATGCTGCGTGTGTTGAAGTGAATTGATCTAATATTGCTTTTTCTCCCTACATATCCCCCACTAAAATAAGTTTGTAAGTCCCTTATGTTTTTGTATTTTCATGTGTGTCCGAAGTGTTCAATATTTCTAACATTAATAACATTTGATTCTGATTCTTCCCAACAAATATATTTCAAGCATACAACAAATNCGCCCTTCGTGGTATTAGCCAGGGGAGTAGTTGTTTTCTGATAGGCGTCAGTCCATTAAACCTACTGTGTAGGTATATAGAGACTGGCTTGAACGTTTGAAGTTCCATTTGCTTTAGATTACAATTTTATTATCGCTTCTGATACGGTTTTAACCATTAATTTTATAAATGTTTCGCTGGTTAAGAATTTAGTGATGGCTTGATTTATGGAAGATTCTATTTCATCTCTAATTTCTCGTGTAATCACCATATTTTTCTTTGTTTCACTTTACTGATATTTGAAAAACCACTTGAAGTTTATTTACACCAAATTCTTGTATTAAAATTAGTCGTATGATCTTTATTTGACACGTTTTTATGACGAGCTCAGAATTCACACGTTTATTCACTAGCTGCCATGTTTCCTACTAGTCAGTCAAATATAAAAATGTTTCAATTGCCAATACAATCACATCGGTTTATTTTATTCTTATATGAAATTGCCAGGGAACAATCCTTCAAAACCAATTCTTCGAATTGGAAACTCAAGCCATTCCCAAGCGAATACTCCTTTCAAGAACTGAGTTTTCAATTGTCTGCATTTCTCACAAATCTCACCGCAGTTAATAAGTACTTCGAACAAATATAAGCGACGTAGCCAAGGGTCTTTCGAACAACAACAAATTCCCCATGAATCCATGAACAGATTAGAATTTTCGATTACCATGAATTGCAGTTTCATAAAAGCTCCTTAACTTCTTGACTTTTTTGCAGAACTAAAGAGATTCACTTCAGTCTACCGCCATTAAGGAGCACATCTTTAGGAGATTTAGCAGAAGACAATCCATACGACTCGGATTTTGGGACGGATTCTCTCTTGCTACCTCCCGTCGGACATAGTTATCGATCCAATTCATTCAGTAAGTATCTAGGGATGAATAACGACTTCATATACAGTATGTCTTATCGAAATTTCGTGAAGAATCACAACTAACATCTTTTTGTGCTGTAACGGTTGGATGTCATGAAATATAGTAGAGCCATTCAATCAATCCATCAATCAATCAGTAATCTTTATTTTTCATCCAGACTAGATATTCTGTAACGATGTGTACTCAACTAATGAATCTAGTTCAGAATGAAAAAAAAAGTAACAGAATTTACCATAGAGTTGCAGTGAAATTACATATCTCCAAGAAAGGTAAATAGGTTTACCAGTCATAGTCATGAAATGAAGAACTGGAATCTTTGACGTAGAATAAGTTCAAAACGAGCACTGCTCTGAAATACCAGGATTGTAACACTCTTCTAGACGCCCGTTTCACTAACCAAGGTGAAGTCTTCAAGAAATTAAGTGGAGCAATTCCTAACTGAATTCAATATATTGATTTCCAAATGGATTCAATCTCCAGCGATTCAAATCAAATGTGAATCGCTACTTTCGCACAAGCACCGCTCTGAGAGTGCCTTAATGATTTTCCTGTAGTGCTTGTATTTTGTGCTTGAAAAACTGTCAACCTGGCTAGATGAAATAAATTCATTAGTTTGGTTACGGTACAAAATCCCAAAACATGTCACAAATGTTATCGTTTTTTAGTTTATTGCAACAATCAAGATAAAATAAATTAAAATCATGTGTTTACCAAAATTTTATAAAATACACTCATAACTTATTGCAATATACTCAAAACTCATTTTATGTTGAGGTATTGATAATAAGAAAGTGAGCAAAAACCATAGCAATGTTCTTTTTAAATGGTATCCTTTAGAAAACTGTAACTCATTTCCGTGGCAACGTTAGTTTGTAAAGCCTTTTCAACATGTTTTGTATGCTACAACATTAGTTCTCAGTATTTCAATTCAAGTTCAAAGTTTGTTAACTTCAATTCTGACAAATGGTTACATTAACGGAAATGCATAAAATAACAGTTTTACAAATGATTGGTTACGGATAAAACACGAACACAACAGGAAGTGCTTGCCTATTTCATGAAAAATTTCCTAATTTACCTACCATATCTTAAGGAACATTAAGCAAAATACAGAAGCAGTTTCGCGAGCTTGGTCATGTGGGGCAGATAAAAAAAGCAGCTGCCAATGAAATGTGAACTCCAATTAGATGTGATGCTTCAGTTTGAGAAAAACCCACATACATTGAGTAGACAGGCATCCACTACATTCAATGTTAGCCATACATCCATAGTAAACATATTGAAAGAAAATAAAATGCATCCCTATAAAATGATGCCCACTCAGGAGCTCATGGGAAAAGATTTTGATAAAAGAACTTCATACAATTAGAAGACGTTATATTTTCTGATGAGTGTACTTTGTTTCTAAACGGTCATGATAATCGGCAAAATTGCCGCTACTTGTCAGCGGAAAATCGTCACTGGATGACGTTTTGCATTACATTTTAGTTTTTCAGTGTATTTTATCAAATTTCGGTAACCACATGATTTTAATTTATTTCTTCTTAATTGTTGCAAAAAACTTGAAAGAGATAACATTTTTGAATAGAGAATGAAGAGACCTTTCAAACGATATATCACAAACCAATACTTCCCATTTGAAAAATTGGGGGTTGTACCTGGCATTCGAAGGGAGTTGAAGGTAGGGGTGGTATTTTCACGTTGAAGAATGTCAAATTATAATTTACATTGGATATGTTTTGGGATTTTTTCAAATATGTACAATAACCAAAATAATGAATTTATTCCATTTGGCTTTTACACACTGTATAACAGGATACACTTTCACTTCCAGACACACATCATTGATTTCGGGTAGGAAGCGGTGGGAAATTTACTCGAAAGAGTTCCTGCTGGTTTTCAACAGAGTAAAAGTAAACAAAAGGAAAGTTCGATTAGGACAAGTGTCAGTGATCATAATTCTCATGCAATACTTTGCTATTTCCAGTATTCCAAAGTAGTGTCATTTTCGAAAAAAATTATTTATTCGACGACCTGCTGAGTAAGCCTTGATTTTTCTGGTCTACGGAATCGGATATGTGTTGTTCCTTCTTTGAAACGAGTTCGATAGCTCACTTAGTCTGACAGACAGACTCTTTGTCACAGTTCTCACAACTCATTTCATATATCCACATATTTCCAACCTTTCATTTTACAAGATCTTTGGGGCAACCAAACATTTTTCAAAATGACAAAAAGTTTAAGAGAATACTTTCGCACTCGATTTTTCAAAAATGGCTAAGTGTGTCTTGGTTCATACGGAAATTTGAATCTGTTTCTTTTTGGAAAGTCCAAGGTTCTTCCTGAATTTACGTTTTCTAATTGAGTTATGTACCTTTCATAATTAGGCTGATCAACTAATCAAAAAGCGTGAAAAATCAAGATGAAACTCCTAAGAATATGAGCAATGACTCATTCCATTCGGAAATATCTATTCCAAGGATTTTATAGTGAATGAAAAATTGTTACGAACAAAATTATCCAGGAAAAACGAGGTATTCCGTTTTTTCGTTAATAACATTGCAACTATATTTATTTGATGAATGAAACAAAAAGATTTTCGAGAAAAAGGAAATTTTAATTAAAATGTTTTTACTCCGAGAAAGGTACCTCCATCTTTTATAATTTCTATTTGAAGTTGAAAATAAGGATCTACGCGCCCGTTTTACCACAGACGCGACGCTGCTGAAAATAGTGTATCACCGATTTTTTTATAACATTAAATGTTTATTTTAGAAAAGATGTATATTCTATTCAAAAAACTACAAAGAATAATGTCCCGTTAAAAAATGTTTATCCTCATTACTCATGATGTATTATACATACTCTGGTAACTCATTATCGGATCTTCTCTTACGTTTGGTTGGATGAAAGTTTGTCCAACAGGCTGAAACAGCTATCTACCGATGGCTCTTGAATTGAAATCAATATGGAAGTGATCAAAAAGTCCCTATCTATTCATTTTGATTTTCATGGAATTGTATTCCAGCAGCTTGACTGCATTAACATTTCTATATAAAAAACCAAGAAAATACTTGATAAAAATAGCTTCGTAAACGCAAGCGAAACATAAGTGGAACCACCTATTTGTGCGACACCCAAGTCAACTTGCCAAGTTTTTATGTCAGTGTTGGGTCCCGGGACCCAACGCAATCTAAGTTAAGGAACGTGAACAAAATCATAAAATCTTCCTCACTGTCGGAGGAGGAGTTATCTCCACTCTAACGGAACGGGCTCGGAGAATATGTGAACCAGAACATCTGGAGAGGGAACAGAAATACTTTGAAGTGACCCTGAGACCAGAAAAGCCATGAAACCGAAGGGCACCACAGTTCAGAAAGCGAAAAAAGATCGGATGGTTGCACGCGCATATCTACCGTTTATCCCTAGGGTCACGGATAGAATTGGAAAACTATTGAGCAAACACGACATCGAAACAGTCTTCAAACCCACGAGGAAGATACAACAAAGCCTCAGGTCTGCTAAAGACAAAAGAGACCCGTTATCAACGTCAGGGGTCTATCGCATACCGTGCACTTGTGGAAAGGTATATATCGGAACCACCAAACGATCCATGGAAACAAGACTAAAAGGACATAAAAGGAACTGCAGACTAGGCCAAACAGACAAGTCAGCTGTGACAGAACACGCACTGAGTGAAGGAGAACACAGAATCTTATTTGAAAACACAGAACTAATTGCCTCCAACGAATTGCCTCCAGAACTAATAGCCGACTGGTACGGGAGGCAATAGAGATCCACAAACACACGGATAATTTTAACAGAAAAGAAGAAACGGTGAACCTCAATCAAATATGGAATTCGGGAATAACGAAAAGGACAACAGGCAGCAAGATTGTTAATGTTTCAGGTTCAAGTGCAGGTACGAATACAGGTACAAATGCAGGTACAAATACAGGTACAAATGTAGGTACAAATACAACGGATTACCTGACAAGGCATAAATAAGCTTTACGAAGCCTAAAAGGTAGTCATAAGACAGCAAGCCATGATGGTTACACCTATGAAGAAGCTAACTACTCTCGCCAGCGAAACGTCGGGAAGAAATTCCAAAAATCCACGGCTTTCAAACTCGAAAAGCAATGACACTGAAAACCTCAGCCGTGAAAGTCTAAACCATTTTATCAGATGGTAGTCAGTGGTCGGGAGGTCTGGGGAGTGTGACGGGTGAGGTAGAACATCGACGCTCAATTTTCTCAATTTTCAGACGGTGATTTGTAAAACGTGCGGACGGAAATCGTCATGGAGTAGGATCGGACCTCTTCTGTTGAACAGTGCTGGCTGGTACTGACGCAATTTTCGATAAATTTCGTCGATTTTCTCACAATAGGACTCTGCTTCTGACTGTCCTTAACGTCTCTTGTTGTCGAAGAGGAACCAATTTTCTTCATGTGTGATGATACGATCCAGTTTTTTCCAGTTTTTCCACCAAATCACGCACCAGAAACCTCATTCTCGATCACTGCAGGTCGACCACTTTGGAGCTCATCTTCAGGGCTGACATATCTGGAACAGGACGTTCATTAACTCTGTGATTGCCAAATGTCTGGTTAAGTTTTTGGCTGTTTCAGCATAGCTTTGTTTCAATGTGAATTCACAGAGGAAAATCAATCAAAAATCGTTTAACGAAAAGAGCTGAAAAGAGTCAAAAAATTAAATTTGAAAAGAATGAACAGCATCACTATACAGGGTGTTTCAAATTCGATCCTCACCATTGGGATATCGGAAACTATGAGAGATACGAAGATGGTAAAACCAAGGCAAAGTTGCGCATTTATCTAACTAACAATTTGCCGTTGAGAAAGTTCTGAAATTCCGACTATATCCNTTTTTAATGTCGATTTTCGAAGACTATTTGGATGATCTACCTTTGGCTAACTATAACAATATCTGGTTTCAACATGATGGTGCTTCACCGCACACTACCAAATGAGTATCTAATTACCTGACTGAAAGGTTTGATGATAAATGGAAAGGGAATAATGGGCCGGTGAGGTGGTTAGCAAGGTCTCCAGACTTAAGTGTCATCGAAACATTCTTAAGGGGTGCACTGACAAATAGAGTTTATGGTCAGAGGAAATATCAAAATATTGAGGACCTTCAACACAGCATCGTCGGAAGATTGAGGAGAAGGGAAATTAATCGTGCAGTGAATATTATTCGGAGACGGGCACAGTTGTGTTGTTATGAACAAGGCCAGCATTTTGAGCATTTGCTGTGATTTACTTTTGCCTTTACATTCCAGTTAATTATTGTTATTTGTTTAAAGTTCTATTTTCATTGTAAAGGACACATGGTCTAATTTACCTCATACACACCTCATTGTTGATTCTGTCTCCGTACTTTTTATTTGGCTTTTGAAACGATTTGTACAATAACAAAATGTCATTATGTGTAACAAATTGAAAGTCAAATTCAGAAGCATCTGAGTCAAAGCCAATTATGATAAGAATTTTTTCTATATCTCCAATTTTTCGAAATTGATAAATCATTGAAAAGGTAAAATCTGGGGCTATTCAAAACAGAAAGAATTGAATGTAGTGCTCATACGAAAAAATGAAGTTGATGATGATGGCCGGAAGACGAAACGTCAGATAGCAAATCTGAAAACACCGTTATGTATCAGGGAAAAAGTGGCAATGTGGAATTGCAATTCATTTTCGAATCTTTCGAGAAATTAATCCAGATAAAAATAAACACCATTTTCCGAAATTTCTGTTTTTTCCGGATATCTCCAGATATACTCGAAATTTCAGAACTTTCTCAACGGCATATTGTTAGTTAGGTAAATGCGCAACTTTGACTCTAGTCAACCATCTTCGTATCTCTCATAGTATCCGAGATCCCAATGGTGAGGATGGAATATGAAACACCCTGTAAAGAGTACAAACATTTTTATCGATCAGTATACACTGCGAGACAGTAGAATGCATATTTATTGGGATATGGTGCTACAAAAAAATATGATATTGAAACGGACAATGCTTCTGCAATAACCTAATATTAACATTCGTAATTAAATTGGACGATAGCATAACCATTTCAAGTAACACTTTATTGTGAGATTTCCACTGAACAGTTAGTTTACAAAACCGCATGACATTTTTCACTATACAATAGCTTTCTCAGACGTATTCATATGCTCAAGTATAATAGAACAAGTATTGCCAATTTCGTAAATTGTTCAGTGAAAATCTTACACTGAAGTATTAGTTGAATGAAAAAACACGGTGATCACTAGTGACGAGCCAATGATAAGTAGTATCTGGATATTTCAATGTGTGTTGAAATTTTGTGTCGTACATCTTCTATTTCTCCGACTTCCTGGAAACAAATTCAAGACATATCATTGAATTATGTGACTTTGATTATATTCAACTAAAAATTAGTTCTATACGGAATCTTTTCAATCTGTTATCGAATAATTTAATTCAATATATATTGGGAAACTGTTGCCATATTCGTTCTCGTTCCAAAAAATATTATATAGAACTTAATTTGTTTCCAGCTCCAATATCCGTTTCTGCCATCTCCAGACTCTATTCGCTGAATTAGGAAATTCACAAATTAGATTTGTAATTTTGTTCTCAGTTTATTTCTTTCGTTCTTTCCATCTTGCTCGCATGATCCTTTTTTCATTCAGAAACCGATTTCTGGGAATCGACGCAAAAAAATTCGAGAATAGAAAGCCATGTGTGCGAAATGTAGTAAAAATTAGTGAATTCATTGTGTTGAAGACGGGTAAAAATTCAATTATACAGGGTGAATGATCCGTACTCAGTATTTTAGTTTTTATGTAAACTGTGGGAAAGAAAAATAGTTACATGTCATTTCACTTCTATTAACTCTTTTGAATATGAGTTGATAAAAGTGTTGATATTATTGAAACAGAATGTCATTAATTTTCTTTCTCTCATTTTATATAAGAACTAAGACAAAAAAGATCAATATGTTTTACCAACTTTTTTTTTTATCATTGGAGAAAGCTTCCTGAGTCGGTTTTGCCACTTCAAGGGGGTATCAGTTGGATAGAAGTGATTTTTACAAATATATTTTCTCCTTGAATTATTTTATCTACAGTTTCCCTGCTTCTCAGATCCGGTATCAAGTCTTTCTTATCAATAATTTCATACACTTCTCATAATCTTCCTGAAAATGTTGTATATCGATCAGTCTATTTTATTTCAAAAACTTATGGATATTTGACAAATTTAAATTTTCTTCTGGTTTTCATGAAGATACGATGACCTTTAAATCTGTGTTTTTCTTCAATTGCTAGATTACTGTCGATTTCTTCACTTCATCACTTTGTTTCGTCCTTTTTCCCAGCATATTTGTCGAATTAGTGATTCTAATTTTTAGATGCTCAAAAAAAATTTATTTTTTATAATCAATCGATCAATTAATGAAAAAAAGATAGATGAAACTTTCTACGTTCTTAACCACTATTATTTGTAACTAACGTTACTGCAGTTTCGTCCTATAAGGACATTTTCAAACTTGTCCTTATATATCGTATAAACTGCAGTAACGTTGGTTACAAATAAAAGTGGTAAAAAACATAAAAAGTTAAATTTCTCTTTTCATCATTATGATTTATTACCCCGTAGTAACGGATACATCCATCAATTAATAGATTAATTAATCATCATATTCATATTCATCTTCATCACGAACGAGTCTCTGTGATCAGCTGTGATGGCGTCATGGCAACATGCTTCAGAGTGGAGACGGAGTAAGAGAGTAATAGATAGAGAAAAAGTGAATAGAGAATAGATGAATAGAAACTCGGTGAGAGAAATACAGGTATCACTCAGCTGCACGCATTAAACTTTATCGACGAACTTTGTTATTTCGGCTTGCGGAAATCGTCAGACCATATATTTTTCGTTAACCTTGAATTATTTCCTCCAAAATAAAGAAAAATCAGCTACGCTCGAGACTGTCGAAATTACATTATTTTTTTACAACTTTGCTGCCCTCCCATTTCTTTACGTCACTCTCAAATTGTCAGATTACTGGAATATACACTTTTTAGCAGGTAATCAACTCACCTTACCTCAATCTGATGCGCTCGAGAATTTCTGATCATCAATATTTTTTTACTAATCTGATCCTTTACCCCTCACAGGCGGCCGTATATATGAAGCTCATATTTGGTGGAGGTACTTAACCGGGTACAAGGTATCCCCCTGTATATTAATCTGCCGCGCTTTAGTAAATACCGAAATCCCCAAACATATGCTCAACAATCAGAAAATTATTTCAAATGACGTTTTTTTGTGTTGAAACAAGAGCTTGAAAGCATAGCTTTCATGATCCAATACTAGGCTGTTTCGAACCGTGGTTCAGCCTTCGATGATGCTTAGCTGGACTACGAATGTCATTGTCGAATACTTCGCTCCTCCATTGCCCCACATTCGAACGTCAACTCCACAACACGTATCCTCGACACTTTTGAATAAATATATACCTTTCTCATTGGGATCACACGTTGAAACGATACACTTCTGTTGAACAAACATCTGTTTTCTCAAATGATGTATTTGAAACGCCCTGTATATACATTGATACCATGTTTTTTTTCTGCAATGATGTATTTTGAGACACCCTATACACATTGGGGGTTCGCACGGTAAAACGTTAATCTGTCATGTTTATTCCTTAAATGATGTATTTTGTACTCCTCTGAATGTTTTTTTGCATTGCCGCCATGTTATTTTTGATCTGATTCTTCATTGATCATTATTGATATATCACTTTCGCGCTTCCAATATTTTCATCTACATTTTTGATTTATATAATTCAACCACGCTTTTTGAATCTCTCCGATACTCAGTGCATACTTCTCTGTTTTCATTCATTACTCTGAATCATCGATGACTGCCGACAAAACAACCGCCATGAATATCAACAATTCGCAATTCTCACGTTGGTGTCAAGGCTGAGGCCTCCCACACCGACGATCTGGGTTCAAATCTCAAACCGGAAAAGTTTTTAATTTAATTTCTCCCAGCTGTGACTGGTACATGACAAGCGAGCTCAGGGTCGAAGGCCTAAGAAGGCCTGAGGGGTGAGGCGGAGTCTTAAGTCCACGCTCTTATATTTGAATCTCTCTAAAAAGCATTCCATCCTTCTCTGAATCGATTGCGTCATACGTTTTCCTGTTCCACCCACTAAAATCTCTTTCTGAAACACTTACCAAAGACGCGCGACCTTCAAGTGATCTCGTACCGCTGTTGTTCATCTACTTATGTCCTCAAATGATAATTTTGCATTCTTTCAGGTTGTTATGGTCTTGGGGTGATAGAACCAGCACTATATAAAAGCACTTTGGATTTAGATGAAATCCAGTGGCCAGAAGGACATATTGGCAGATTATGGTTCTCTTTACGGTATGAACCGTCAACCGAGAAACTCTTAGTGTCTCTTCTGAAAGCAAAAAATCTACCATCGAGGACAGTGGGAACTGTAAATAGCTGTGATCCTTTTGTTCGGTACGTTAGATAAGTAAATGTATTTGTCGGTATAAAACAGCTTTGAATTATGTAGCTTCAGTCAGATTTGAATTGGATTTGATAGTTTGGAGAAATCAATCAATTACATAAAATATCATGATTTGAATGAAACTAAAAGTTAGTCACAATCATTTTTCAGAATTAGCGATAGAAAGTTATAATTTCTAAACGTAGCATGAGAGAAATACCGTAGTCTCTGATTTTTTTAATCGTTTTCTATATTTGTTCATCTTGCAGATTGCATCTGATGCCAGACGAAAGAAGGTATCTTCAGTCGAAGCAGAAAAAGAAAACATGTAATCCATACTTCGATGAAACCCTTGTTTTCCAGGTAAGGATATGAAATCGCCTTTAGCTGTAACACCAACCATAGGTTCCATACATGAGACAATAATTTGGTTTTGGCATAAAATTGGATAATGTTGTTGCAGAATTGTTCCATTTCAGTGTCTAATAATTTACTACTTCTTCAATTCATCACACATTAGGTTGTTTAAAAAGTTTTTTCTGTTTTATGAGTCTACTTCAAACGGTAATATCTCAGTGGATACTCATTCCATTCAATCGAAATAGCTGTCATTTGAATCACTGTACTTTTGTCAACGTTACATTTCGTAAGCATTGAAATTTCGTGCTCGAGATTCGATGAAGTTGACGAAGGCCATTTTTATCTGGTCCTGATTGGCGAAGGTTTAACCGGTGAAAACGTTATCAAAGTGTTTGAAAAGATGGTAATCGGCTGGCAAGAGGTCTGGGAAGTATGGTGGGTGAGGTTTGATCAGTGCCAACTGCTGCTGACCACCATACAGTAACCATGGTCTTTTTTCAGTTAGTGTTTTTTCATGCATTATCACCTTTGGTAAGTGCATCTTACCTCATCGGTGTATAACCACTGTTCTGAACGCCTCCTGTTGTAGTAGACGCCCAGTTTCTCCACCATCCCACGCACCATTTGTGATGGGTCTCCGGAACAAACATTTTGTTGAATCAAATTCTTCATTGTTTTGCAAAATTTATTTACCGTCTAATACTGTTCAAAAGTTAGAAATTATAAATTTCTCTAGTACTGAATGTGTTGAAGATAGCATTCAAATTCATCAAGTTATGAAAATTACTAAAAACGATTAGAAGTCAATTCTAAAAATTTTCGTAACATATATCTTTAATTTTTCTCAGAAATTGAAAACTAAACAAATCGAGAAAAAGTTAAACCGTGGTTTACTGTTGAATATTTCTAGTTAATGAACAGTATGAATAAATTTGTCTGGAAGAAATACTTGAACTTTGAACAGCTTTTGATTCATATTATTTCAGAACACTGTTATTACTAGGTATAATGAATTTGTTAAAAATTTAGTATTCAATGGACTTGGCCGATACATACAATTTTTCTNGTTTACAAAACCGCTACACGTGTTTCACTATGGAATAGCTTCATCAAGCGTTTTCATATCGACTGAATTTAATTGAATCTGTGTTATATATAATAATAATTTGAATCATATGGCCTTCCATCTAGGTAATGACTTATAATTCTACATGATTTGAGGTGAAAACTGCTTGAAATGTTCAAAAATTTCAATTAGTTTTAACTCACGTATGTAGATGGTCACACGGTTCTAATTGTGATTGTATAAGGCACAAATTAACTAGAATCAAGTCAGTATGAAAAATATTGAGAAAGCTATTCTATAGCAAAACACGGATGAAAAATCTAGTCAACAAGCAAATCAAGAATTTATTAAGATCAATTCGCAAATTCACCTACTCTGAAATCTATTTGGCACGGTATATATTCAGTATTACTCAATCACCATAAACTGTAGACATAAAGTCGGAAACAAGAATTGAATGGACTCAGAAGGAATCTGTCAAGAATTCAACAATCATTTTTTTACCTACCGGTTATCAAAATTCAAGTGACCACAATTATTTTTAATGATCCATCAAACGTTACGTCTCGGAAACTAGCAGACATGCAAACGTTACGTCATGGAAACTAGCGAAAGAAACTAGTATACTGAGCAGAAGTGCCCACTCTCATGGACACACCTCCACCCCCACCACCTGCTAGTATAGATACGAGTCAACACAGAGCTCCACTGTCAGTTGTTGCTGAGTCCTCGAAATGCTATTTTCCTTCTCGTAATCAACGCATACACTACCGAAAATATAAGCCGCAGTAACAGATAAAATGTTTGTTTCATTTCGATCACGAACTGGATTTTATTCTCTCTAAGAAATTGTAAATATTGGGCTGTTGAACTTTTTGAATGCTAGGCCAGTACAGCTTCTGCAGATGCAAATATATCGAGTTTACGATGACTGTTATCTACAGAAATTGTCCAGTTTTGAGGTCTGTTTTTCTTTGCTTCTGCGCAAGCAAACGATCCTTTTTTGGATAGCATCGTCATGTGATGGCGAAAAGGTGAAAACAGTATGGCTGGTATGATTCACTAAAACTTTCTGCAACCGGGCTAAACCATCACAGCAGAGTCCTACTGTAAGGATATCAACGGAAGTACCGAAAATTGCGTCAGCAGCAACCGGCACCGGTATATAGAAACGGCCCGATCCTGCTCCATGACAACGCTCGTCCGCACATTTCACAAATCACCTTCCAAAAATTGAACGAAACAAGCATCGAAGTTCTGCATCACCCTATATTGTTTCGCATTATCAGATGCTCCATGATGAGCAGTAGAATTCAGTCAGTATGAAAAAGATTGAGGAAGCTATTCTATAGTAAAACACGGATGAAAAATCTAGTCAAGAAGCAAATCAAGAATTTACGAAGATCAATTCACAAATTCACCTACTCTAAAATCTATTTGGCACGGTATAAATTCAGTATTACCTGATCACCATAAACTGTAAACATAAAGAAAAAATAAGAGGTATTGAAATCAAAAATGAGAAAGGAATATGTCAAGAATTCAACAATCATTTTTTTATGTATCGGTTATCAAAATTCAAGTGACCACAATTATTATTATCCATCAAAAGTTACGTCTCGGAAACTAGACATGAAGATTGAGGCAATCATAAATAGTTTGGTGGTTTTGATGATATAACTGCAAAATTTATCAGATGGGTGAAGGTGCAATTTCACCATTTTCATTTGAAGCAGCGTTCAACTCACTCGAGTGAGTGGTAAGAAATATAATATGAATAACTATGGCATTATCAATGTCCTTTTATTATTTTATCTTGAAAATTATTGAATGAATTAAGATAATAAAAACGTAGGTTTTCACAGCTTGGGTCACGATTCGAGAGAATAAAATCTGGGCCAGGTCGAAAGAAACTAGTAGTACTGAGCAGAAGTGACCACTCTCATGAACACACCTCCACCCCCACCACCTGCTAGTATAAATACGAGTCAACACAGAGCTCCACTGTCAGTTGTTGCTGAGTCCTCGAAATGCTATTTTCCTTCTCGTAATCAACGCATACACTACCGAAGATATCTGCCGCAGTAACAGATAAAATGTTTGTTTCATTTCGACCACGAACTGGATTTTTTCCTCTCTAAGAAATTGTAAATATTGGGCTGTTGAACTTTTTGAATGCCAGGCCAGTACAGCTTCTGCAGATGCAAATATATCGAGTTTACGATAACTGATATCGCAACTAACATTCAAATTGAAATTGATCAAGATAAAAATGTAGTCTTCTGCCTCTGGAGTTGTGCAAAGCATCTGATAGTGTTGACCATAAAATTATACTTCAGAAATCAAATAATTTTGGTGTGGGGGGACATATAGTTGTATCAGAATTATTAGGGTGTTCAATAAGTTTTGTCCGTTTCTATTTTCATGTGTTTTTATAGCTCCATATCTGAAAAAACATTCATTTTGCGGTGTCGTGTTATAACTGATTGATTGATAGGGAGAATTTTGTACTCTATGCATTGATGCTGTTATTTTTTTTCCAAATGTTGATTTTTCACCTCGTGTCAGCCTAATAATGATATGATTATCGGCCAATTTTTCTCTACGAATTCAGATTGAACCAGAGCTCTGCCAAAACAGGCCGAAAAATTAATCAGGCTGTATGCTATGATAGTGTTATTGAACGCACTGTTCGACGTTGGTTAACGAAATTTTGTTCCGAAGGTTTTAGCTTCGAAGATGAACCCCAAAGTAGTCGACCTACAGGATCTTAATGACCCTGGTGGAGACTGACCTATCGCAAAGGGTGAGTGGGATGGCGGAAGAACTGGGCGTCAGTTTCCGTTCATATCGTATTGAAAAGGTTAAAAAGTTCGAAAAGTGAGTGCCCCACGATTTGAATGATCTACAGAAATTGTCACGTTTTGAGGTCTGTTTTTCTTTGCTTTTGCGCAAGCTAAACGGTCCTTTTTTGAATAGCATCGTCATGTGATGGCGAAAAGGCGGAAACTGTATGGTGGTCAGCGGCTGGTGTGATCCACTAAAACTTTCTGCAACCGGGCTAAACCATCACAGCAGAGTCCTACTGTGAGGATATCAACGAAAGTACCGAAAATTGCGTCAGCAGCAACCGGCACCGGTATATAGAAACGGCCCGATCCTGCTCCATGACAACGCTCGTCCGCACATTTCACAAATCACCTTCCAAAAATTGAACGAAACAAGCATCGAAGTTCTGCATCACCCTATATTGTTTCGCATTATCAGATGCTCCATGATGAGCAGATTTCAACTAAGTACAAAGCATATGGTCTGAAGCTTATGGTTCGGAAGCTCCAAATTATGTGAGTTGAAAACGAGTCACTCTGAATTAACTTTCGAAACAATGATTTGCAGTAAAAATAAAAAACAGGTCAACAATTATACAGGAGGCCATATTTTGGAATATTCGTTCTAGAGACAAATAATATTCAGAAAATAATATTTTTTTATTAATTGTTGAATCAAAATCTGAGGACTGGACAACGAGAAAAAAGTTTTCCATAGTAAAGGTTTAGAAACGTTGTCACCAACTTCAATACAACGTTGCAAACGAGCTTCCATTGCCGTCCTCACATGGTTGAGAATCGCGGGAGTTATTTCTCTGCAATTCCTCATAATATTCTCTCTCAAATCTTCTAATGTTAATTTTATCTCATAAACTTTAAACTTCAAATGACCCCATAGACAGGAATCTACAAGGAATCAAAAAAAGTTAGATCCGGAGACCTTGGTGGCCATTCTGTAGGACCTCTTCTGCCAATCCAGCGACCAGGAAAATGATCATCCAAAAATTGTCGCACTTGAGCTGCATAAGGAGGAGGTGCACTATCCTGCTGATCGTTTTCGAAGAAATTTATATCCTCCTCAATTGCCCTGTTGATGCACGGTATTATTCGATTCTCCAACATATCCAAATATTTATCACTAGTCAAATCATCATTGATAAAAAAGGTCCTGTGATGTGGTCACCTAAAATTCCTGCCCAAACATTCAGTTTTTGAGGTCGTTGGGTATGAACTTGACGGTATAAATGAGGATTCGTATCATTCCAATATCGACAATTTTGCCGATTCATCTCTCCATTCAAACTAAACGTACACTCATCCGAAAAACAAATTTTGTACAAGAAGTTCTGATGCAAGTTGATACGTTCCGTGAGATTTTCACAAAACTCGATACGTCTATCGAAATCATCTTCGTTCCATTCATGAACTAGTCTAATCTTATATGGATAAAATTTGTACTTATGAAGGATCCTGAAAACATTTATACGACTGATTCCTGATCCTCGAGATAACTTAGTAAGAGATTTTCCATTAGTCCAACTTGCCTTAAAACTGCAGTACAAATAGCTTCATCGTTGACAACTCATGAACGGTTATGCTTTTTTGTTAACAGCTCCAGTTTTCTTAAATTTGTTCAATAATTCAGAAAAGTATTTGTGTCGTACATTTTTTCCTGGATGATTATCATCAAACATACGGGCAGCAGCTTCAGCACTTCCATTCTGATAGTACAAACTTACTGCTTCAGTCTGTTTTCGAAGCGTATAAACCATTGCTTCTCAAGAATTCACGTAAACAGAAACACCAGTAGTAACTTCACCTGGTAGGTAATCGTTATTGTATAATGAGACAAATACAAAATGAAGAGAATATCGAATTCGAACTTACTAGACAAAATAAGACTTTCTGAAGTATACTTCACAAAACCACCTATGAAACCTAGGTAACAGATTGTACAAAAGTTCATTCAGGGTGGCTCGTTCGCAACTCAAATAATTTTTAGCTTCCAAACTATGAGCTTCAGACCATAATATATTCTACTTTGTTGAAATCTGTTCATCATGGAACAATCTGATATTGTGAAAAAATTGGTAACATTCTCTGGGGTTGCGATAGGGAAAGTAACATCAAATGTGAATATGTCAAAATGTGTCCTCCTGTTTACTATGTTTTTAATTTTTTCTGCAAATTATTGTACCAAAAGTTATTTAGGATGTCTCGTTTTAAATGGAATGCACTGTATATTGATTCAATGAAACAACTGAAACTTGATGGAAAATTCAGTTATTGGAAATCGACCTACACCTCATTCATTTTTCAACCGATCATACAAACAGTCAAAATTCCATAAATTAAGATTTTTTTAATACAAGTTGGTTTGAATAACACAAAGCTTTTAATTTCAAAAGTAATTGAATATAATACAAACCAGTTATGAAACTTCCAGGATTGAATATCAATGAAGAATCATCATGGAAAAATCATAGTGAAAATTCAAGTCCATAATTGGTATATTATTCAGACTGACATTTTGCATTACTTTTTGATAAATCTTCATTACCGCTTTATCAACTCGTATTTACAATATTTAGTAGTTATTTAGGATTCAGCTATAATTTTTACTATCAAATTTTTAATTGTCGTGACTTCATAGAACACCCTATAGTATACCACCGAATTAGAGGAGTGTATTTTTCATGCAACTCCAGGTAGTTTCTCCAATACATCTACTTAATAGCACTCTTGAAGGTCCTAGACACTTCACTTAAAAAGTTTTCCTAATCCTTTTCAGGTGTCAGCTAAAGACATGTCGGATCACACTCTCAAATTGACGGTGATAGACGGAGGTCGGACGAAAAAACGAAGTGAGATCGGGCACGTCACATACCCTCTTAAGGATTTGGAAATTGGAGACGGCACGGAACAACAACTCTTCAAGATGGATCTGGAGAAGGTATCAAATTATCGCGAATCAATTACTTACAGCGATAATTGTGTTGGGGGAAATTGTATGCCAAAAAAAAAACAATATTTCGGCCATGAAAAAATACATTTACAACGGATGAGATCTATATTTCGCAACTGAAGTCTATTCAACTAAGTTATCTGTTAAACTAAGAGAAACAAATGAATTCGATATACTTCTCTCAAAGTATAAATGAGAAATAATTCAAAATAACGAATGAAATATTTTTCAACCCAACTGACTCTATATGTCGTCAAACAACTTGAGTAGGTGAATAAAGAGATTTCTATTATACAGCCAATTCAACTAACAGAAGCGATGAAGAACAGTGCGTTTTCGACTGTTTTTTGTGTGTTTTCGTGTGTTCCTCCTTCGTGCGTAACCGTCATATACTTGACCAACTGCGCCACGAAAGTGCTGCACGAAAAACGTTACGCGAAAAAACGTTATACGAAAAAACGTTGCATGATAAAAACGATATTTTTTTTGTAACGCTTTCGCGTAACGTTTTTTCGCATAACGCTTTTCGTGCAGCGCTTTCGTAGCGCAGTTGGTCAAGTATGTGACGGTTACGCACGAAAAACGGTCGAAAACGCACGAAAAACGGTCGAAAACGCACTGTTCTTCATTGCTTCTGTTAGTTGAATTGGCTGTGTAATAGAAATTTCTTTGTTCGTCTACTAACTTGTTCTGAACACTATCTCTGTGAACTGATGGATATGTGTGTTACATTTGAGTCCTTTTATTCATCTTTATCTTATCAGAAATTTCAGGTTGGTTCAATAGGTAGAAACAATGCCTATTTACAACCCAAAAATTATTGAAGATACTAACTAGAAGCTAGGTTTTCAATCTTTATTCTCATTTTTCAATTTTGATATTTTTTCATCATCCAAACATCATTAGTGCCGACTTTCATTGTCTAATATGATATAAATTGATTTGAAATAACAATTTTAGTAAGGAAAAAAACTTTAATTGAAATGAAATAAAATACAAGCAACAATTAAAAATTCGAACTATTAACACGTGATGAAAATAAAAAAATGAAAGATTTCAAGCCAAATTACTTACCGACGTATCGATTGTTGATATCCACAATCGTGTTCGGGTGATAATCTGACTATTTATAGGCCATTAGAGTGCTTTCACCAATCTCCTCTTCCGCTTCATCGGTTTTAGCGGGAGCAGAACGTTTGGCGGGAGTTGGTCGTGTTCCAATTGATTATTGGTTTCCAAATGTTGCGTATCCCTACGCTAGCTTGGCTAAATGCGACAACATATATGCAGCTTCCTTGAATTTCTTCCTAAAACCAGTGTTCCTCCTTGTGACTGATTTCAGCTTGACACCGCTTGATGTTATGTTGATGAGTCTAAACATGCTCTGCTATTCCTGTTATGTTGGTTTCTCCTCGTTGTGTGTGTTTCTTGTGCTCGGCATTGCAAACTTTGAATGGCCTCTTAGTTTCACCGATGTAGGATTCTCCGCACTCGCAGGGTATTCGGTAAATGCAATTCTTGGAATCGCAGCCTGCGTTTGGGAGCCTGGTTTTCGTGAGGCTGTTACTTATAGTGTTGCTAGATCTGAAACAGGTTCTTATGTTATACTTGGACCCGATTCTTCCCATCTTTTCCGACAATCCTCTGATGTAGGAAAGTACAAGTACTGGTTGTGGCAGCTTCTCTTCCTTGTGAGACTTTTGCTGTCTCCTGGCCAAAGTATGTTCCACCATTACTTCGGAGTAACCATTCCGTCATTTTTGATGATGCCTAGTTTCTTTTCGAGTCCTTCCTTTGTATTACAGAGCCCGAAACCACGGTCTACTAGAGTATTGAAGATTTCTCTCTTAGTCGATTGATGGAGGTTAGATTTCTGGTTCAAATACTGTCCCGTGTGAGTGGGTTTCCGGTATACAGATGTTCTCCACTTGGTGTCGGTCCTCTTCACCAATACGTCTAAGAATGGCAATTCGTTGTGGACTTCCTTCTACATTGTGAAAGTGATGGAAGGACTTACGTTGTTGATGTGCTTCAGGAAGGTGTCTAGTTCTGCATTTATTTGCTTCCATATTATGAAGGTGTCGTCAACGTATCTCAACTAGACTCGAGACTTCTTGTGAGATTCTTCAATGGCCAAAGTTTCAAACCACCCCATATATGTGTTGGCTATAACCGGTAAATGTGGCAATCCCATTGGCAGTCCCTCATCTTGCGTAAAAAATTCGTACTTCAGCTGGAAGTAGCAGTTGCGTACACAGTATCCTAATAATTCCATAATTACTTGTATCGGCGAGTTTGTTCTATAGTTCAGGTCCCCATCTTGGAATAGCTTCCTCTGTATGATTTGAAGTGCTTCTTTGACAGGAACGTTGGTGTAGAGGCTTTCTACGTTGAAACTGATTAGTTGATTCTGCTCTGTGACTTTGATTGTGCCTAGTAGTTCAAAGAAATGCCTTGAATTCTTCACAAAAGAGGACTATTTTAATGAATTGATGGATTTAGCCGTTACTACGTGGTAGGAGATCATAATGAAAAGAGAAATGAAAATTTCTATGTTTTTTACCACTTTTAATTGTAACTAACATTACTGCAGTTTCGTCCTAGTGGTAAAAAACATAGAAATGTTCATTTCTCTTTTAATGAGGACTATTTTCCTAGCAGTGGTTTTATTGTTGGTAGTAATAATCTGGAACAGATCGGTTAAGGTAAAATCAATGTAACATTAAAAATAATATATTCATTCTTCTTACTTTGTTATTATATAATTGAAACCATCGGTTTGGTCCATTCTGCCTACACATGAAGGTAAAATGAACCAGTCATGAAGGCAAAATGGACCTATGGCAACATTAAAACGAAACAAGATTCCTACTATTTATTCAACTGCACACCTTTCGCAAACAAATCTAACATTTTCATCATTATCTTCGACACCGACACAACTACAGTGTGCCTATAAAGAACATGCGGGGCACTGTACCCAGCTTTTTGTTGATTCAGAAAATAAATGAGAGCAATAAAAACATCGTACGTCTTCTTCATCTTCGCAGATGCTTTTGTTTTTACGAGTTCTTCTTTGTAGATTTCCCTTTTCCTTTTTGATTTTTGAGTGTTTTGTTTCCCTATAGAGGATAGAGAGTATTTTCAGTGAAAAGATTTTGTTTCCCTTCTTTGCGTTTTCTTTCGTTTACTGTGCTTTTATAGTAGCTTCTAATTCTTCGCGATAGGGTGATTATGTTATTTCGACTGTCTTTCCTTGCTCAATATTAGATCTAGTCCGTTCAGAAGTTCTAGAGATGGCCATGATATCTTTTGGAGCAATAGAAAATGATGTATTCGTAGATGGGTGTTGCTCATCATTGCTGGTTACATCTTTATTTTGAGAAATGCCCTGATCACTTGATGGTGATGGCGGTGGTACAGCAGTGAACTTGGTTGAATCCAGATGCTCGAGCTGTTGAAGTGGGTTCTGGTTTTTGTAGACTTAAGTCAGGGTTACGCTTTAAGAAATTTTCGAACCATATTCTTCCAGCCATTTGTATCGTGACAGAAATTGTGTTGTAGTTCATTATGTTCGGCTAGCTCATGTGCAAGACGCTTGAGATCCTTTGTGGTTGATCCAAAAGAGCGATTATCAATATTCTTGACATAGGATGCTAGTTCTCTCTCTTGTTCGACATTGAAAATCTTTTCATACCTGCCCATTTTCTTTTCCGTAATTACAGTAAATTCTTTAGTGCTTTCATATTCGGTAAGTTTTCGTATTAATGTAGTCTTTGGAACATCAAATGTAGCGGCCGCTTTGTTAAGCCCCGCACGAAACTACATATGTTCTCCTCACGCCAAGATTGTCGGTCCGACTTTCTTTTATAGTTGTTAACCATCTGAAATGAAAATACCTATTTTCAATATCAAATTATGTATGTATAATCACAAATCAATTGCATTGAAGGTAAAACGGACCACGTGGTCCATTTTGCCCGTTCCGTTTTGCCTTTTCGGTAGGTATGTGAACAATAAATCATTTTGAGGTTAAGATTAATCTGGTTCGTTATAACTGCAGGGTCCTTTTTATCTTCCGCTCCCCTACTATTGACTTGATAGTGTGTCGTGGTGTGATTTTGCTTTCTTTGACGGAGGCTGCTCACTTTCACTTGCCAGATTATCACAATCAGACATATTTCATTCTAAATTATTTAAAAAAATAATTTATTAGGTAAAACACAGGTTATGTATACTATGTAAACACAACTGTATACACTATAGGTATTCAAGCTCAGTGTGACGAGAGACATAGTGTAACGTCAAACCAGACGGTCACCATGCGCCGTCGCTTGCGCATGGTGACCCGTCGCCACGACATACGTCACCAAGCCAGCAATCGATTTCACGTACATCTGTTATTCTCTTCAGCTGAGATCAGAGTCGAAGAGATGATAATAAAGAGAATTATTCTACGAGAGCTAGAGAATTATTCTACAAGAGCTATAGCTGTTTTACAATTTCGGTACTTCGGTGGTTTGATTCTAAATTTAAGCAGCAGGTTGGGATTTGGGAAAAGGATCAATGGTTTAGAATCTGAGGGATTTCGCAAATGAAAAGAATGGGAACGGGGTAGGTTAGGTTAGGTTAGGTCCAAAGTGAGTGAGTCTATTCAACCTTCCACCGTAACCCGCAAGGGTTTATTGTGGCTCACATCTATTCTCACTCGACCAAATAAACCCAGCTTCTCAACGAAGCCGATCAGTTTGTATGGTTAGTTGTCCCCAGCAGGGCAGGCACAACGTATGTGCTCAGCTGTTTCATCATTTCTCAAACATAAGCGACACACACTGTTTTCCGACAGTCCGAGTCTCTGCATATGATGATTCAAACTGAAGCAGAAAAAGTCTTAGATATTTTTTGAGCATTTGATACACTTCGAGAACTACAATTTATAAGTTGTATCGAAAACAGTCACCTCACCTTGATCAACTCCTCAACTTCTATTACAGGAACCCCAAGAAATAAGGTCAGATTTAGGAGAACTCCTAGTCTCTTTGGTCTACAATGAGAATCTCAGTAGGCTGACAGCTACAGTTATAGAAGCCCGAAGGCTCAAGGTATGTTTAATAAAAATTGCTAACAGAAAATTTATCAATCATTTCTATCAGAATTTCAGAATTGAGACGGTTTTTCGAATTAGATAGGTATATTGTTACGTTTTTCCCGTAGGATCGACAATAAATAATCACACTTTACAATTGAACTCAACTTGATTCCACTGCTACATTGACGACAACACTAAAACACTACCAAAATGGAACTCGTCAACTCCTCGAAGAAAGTTACTAACGTAACGAGCTTCGGGAAGTTGCGAGTCAAGGGTAACCGTGTTGACGAGCAGAGGAGCGCGCGACATCTGGCAGTTATCCTGGATAGGCACCCACTCTTTGCACGGAAACTCTTAGCTCAGTGTTGACAACAAATAATCAGACCAGCTATGTTATACGCCTGTCCTATACTCTGCAGCCTCAAGAGGATTCCTTTGCGGATACTCGAGACGATGTAGAAGGAGGTGTCCGTATTTGCACGAACAGTGACAAATATATTTCATTGAATGATCTTTAGATCATGCAGGAGTCGAGACGATCACTGAACATATCAGGAGTCTGTCTTATGAATTCTTCAAGTTCTTTCTTCCGAAAAACCCGCTGACGAGGAATGTCATGGAGTTTAATATTGATCTTCATCCTACTGAAGACCCCTAACTTTTTTCTCCACCAACACTTTTCCCCACCACTCCTTACCATTCTTTTATGTGAGAGAAAACTAAATATTGTGAATACTCTGTACAAAGACCTTAAATTTGTTAAAGACAATTAGGTACTATAGCATTTTTGATTTTGAGACTGATGCTCGAATGGCTTTCGCCTTATCAGCTCAATTCGCACTGTACTTTTCGAACTAGACTGTTATACATATAACCCAATGGATATTTTTGGAAGCTTGTGCAACAACTGTTGAAAAGGCATGGCGTTTTAGAACTTTCGAGAGGACCGCGATTAAGTCACGATTCAGGAGATATATGAACTTTAAATCATTTGATTGGTTTTGACCGATTTTAGGAAAAACAATATATATATATTATGTGCTAAGCTATATTTCACGAATAAACTCGAATGTTTTTCAATAAAAGTAAGAATAATTGGACTCATCATAGATAATGATTTCATTATATGAAGTGTTTTATTAGGAGGGTATATGCTTTCAATGAATTCCCTTTTTGAATGAATATATTGTAGAGTACAATCTTTTATTATTGTTTGTAAAATATATTGTGTTGAAACGATGAAATTCGTAACAGCCATCAAGGCAAATCCATGGTGATGTGGATGAAGTTGATGATGGACCAATTCACATGCGGAATCAAACATAACTAATTTGGAAACCTTCGAGAATACACATTACTTTTGAGAGAGTTGACAATTTTTTTGATTTTTTTCATAATTTATAAGTTCAGAGCATCAAAATGCAAAGTATTTCAATCTATTTCTGTTCAATAACTAGCAACACTTCACTTTTCCAAATGGAGTGATACTGAACAAAACTTTGTTGATATTACATTTTTATTTTTTGAGAAAGAAAGTTTTTGGCTTTCTACTACTCCATCTTGATACAAAAAAATGTGGGAATCTGCCAAAGAAAGGAAGGAAGTAATCAATTTGAAAATAAGTAACTCTATACATGGATGTGAGTTACTTATTTTCAAATTGATCACTTTCTTCCTTTCTTTGGAAGATTCCCACATTTTTTCATATCAAGATTGAGTAGTAGAAAGCCAAAAACTTTCTTTCCCAAAAAATTATTCACTACTAAAAATATAACCCCTTCAATACATCTTTATGTTTTAAATAGAGAATTATTNAAATTTTCAACTCGTCTCATCGAACTTCGAACTTTTCATAAAATTAGAGTCGTTCTAATGAGAACTGAGTAATGTCATTAATATCGAAGTTTCATATTAGATTCAAAGTAAATTTACCGGATGGTATAATTGACTCGAATCAACAGAAAAATTTTTTAATTGTCGTGACTTCATAGAACACCCTATAGTATACCACCGAATTAGAGGAGTGTATTTTTCATGCAACTCCAGGTAGTTTCTCCAATACATTATAATGAAATAAAATGCAAGTAACAATAAATAATTTGAACTATTAACACGTAATGAAAATTAAAAGATATCAAGCCAAATTATTTCACGACGTATCGATTGTTGATTTCCACAATCGTCTTCGAGTGATAACTGGACTTATTTCTCCGGAATCTGACTATTTATAGGTCGTTAAAGTGCTTTCATCTATCTCTTCTTCCCCCTCTCCGCTTCATCGGTTTTAGCCGAAGCAGAACGTTTGGCGGGAGTTGGTCGTGTTCCGCTTGATTATTGGTTTCCATATGTTGGGTATCCCTACGTTTTTTTTTCCAAATGCGTTGTTCGACAACACATATACGGCTTATTTGAATTTTCTCCTGAAACCAGTGTTCCTCCTTGTGGCTGATTTCAGCTTGAGACCACTTGATGTTATGTTGATGAGTCCAAACATGCTCTGCTATTCCTGATTTACTGGTTTCTCCTCGTTGTGTGTATTCCTTGTGCTCTGCATGGCAAACCTTCAATGGCCTCTTAGTTTCACCGATGTAGGATTCTCCGCACTCGCAGGGTATCCGGTTAATGCAATTCTTGGAATCGCAGTCCGCGTTTGGTAGCATAGTTTTCGTGAGGCTGCTACGGAAAGTGTTGCTATATCTGAAGCAGGTTCTTATGTTATACTCAGACCCAATTCTCCTTATCTTTTCCAAAAATCCTCTTTCGTAGGAAAGTACAAGTACTGGTTGTGGCGGCTTCTCTTCCTTGCGAGACTCTTGCTGTCTCCTGGCCAAATTCTGTTCCACCATCACTTCGGAGTAATCATTCCGCCATTTTTGATGATGCCTAGTTCCTTTTCGAGTCCTTCCTTTGTATTACAGAGCCCGAAAGCACGGTCTACTAGAGTCTTGATGATTTCTCTCTTAGTCGATTGATGGTGGTTAGATTCCTGGTTCGGATACTGTCCGTGTGAGTGGGTTTTCAGTATACAGATGTTCTCCATTTGGTGTCGGTCCTCTTCACCAATACCTCTAAGAATGGCAATTGGTTGTGGACTTCCTTCTACATTGTGAAAGTGATGGAAGGACTTACGTTATTGATGTGCTTCAGGAAAGTATATAGTTCTGCATTCCCTTGGTTTCATATTATGAAGGTATCGTCAGCGTATCTCAACTGGACTCGGGGTTCCTTGTGGGATTCTTCAATGACCAAAGTTTCAAACCACCCCATATATGTGTTGGCTATAACCGGTGAATGTGGCAATCCCATTGGCAGTCCCTTATCTTGCATAAAAAATTCGTCCTTCAGCTGGAAGTAGTAGTTGCGTACTCAGCATCCTAGTAATTCCATAATTACTAGTATCGGTAAGTTCGTTCTATAGTTCAGGTCCCCATCTTCGAATAGCTTCCTCTGTATGATTTGAAGTGCTTCTTTGACAGGAACGTTGGTGTAGAGGCTTTCCACGTTAAAACTGATTAGTTGATCATGCTAGTAGTTCGAAAAAATGCCTTGAATTCTTCACAACAGAGGATTATTTTCCTTGCAGTGGTTTTATTGTTTTTCTGATTGATTCGGCCGTTACTTGATGAAGATCCATAGTAATTTCACAAACAACTCCTAAACGATTTGATCTCCACAAACTTCATTGAAAAAATATATCACAACCTGTTTCGCTAAACATTAGCTTTTTCAAGTGATTAATCACTTGAAACATGTTGTGATATATTTTTTCAATAAAGTTTGTGGAGATTAAATCGTTCAGGTGTAGTTTGTGAAAAAAGGTTTTATTGTTGGTAGTAATGATCTGGACAAGTTCTTTCAGGGATTTCGAATCAATTTATATCATATTAGACAATGGAAATCCGAATCAATGAAATGGAATAAGGTGAATGTTCAAATTTCGCGAGATACCTACATTCAAATAGCGATTTTTTATTTTAGTTCACTCGCCTCGAAACATATGTTTTCAGTTTCAGCTGTTTATATATAGCACAATTAGTTTGTTAGTGAGAAGTATCAAATTCAGAAGTGGTTTTCGTGTTCGGCGACTTTCTGCTATGGAAAAAAATGATTCAAAGAATTTGCAGCAGATTTTGTGTGAAAAATGGAATTCAGTGCTCATAAACACGTGACATGTTGACAGTAGCATACAGTGATTGTGATCTGAGTCACAAAATGTTAACGATTGGTATAAGCTTTTCACAGAAGGTAGAGAAAATGTGAATGACGATGCTCGCCCTGGACGTTCAAGCACAACCTATGAAAATGTCGAGAAAGCGAAAAAAAATTATGGAGAATCGTCGAATCACTATTAGAGAAGCTGCTGAGTATGTGGGCATATTAGTTGGCTCATGCCATGCACTTTTCGAAAATTTTGGACATGAAGCATGTGGCAGTGGAGTTCGTCCAAAATTGCTGAATTCTGATCAGATAAATCATCGCATGAATCACTCAGGAATTATTGAATGACGTTAACGGTGATCTAGATTTGCTCAAAAGGGTTGTGAGTGGTGACTGATTATGGGTATATGGTTATGGCATCGAAACAAGTGTCTAATCGTCCCAATAGAAGAACCCAGGGAGTCAGACCAAAAAACCATGCTGAGTTCAATCGAATCTCATGGTTTTTCTCACTGTTTTCTTCGATTGCCAATTATCAGGAGTTCTTTCAACATAAGGAATATTTTCCTAAGGTTATGCGCCGCTTGCGAGAAGCAATACGCAGAAAATGTCCGGTATTGTGGAAAAACAATTCTTGGTTTTTGCATCACGATAATGCACTCGTCATTGTTCGTATTTTTCGGCCACAAACAACATCGTAATCAAGCCTCATCCACCGTATTCAGCAGATTTGTCCCCTGCGAATTCTTTCTATTCTCAAGCCTGAAGAGAAGCATTAGAGAACGGCGTTTCGTGACGATTGAACAGATAAAACAGAATCGTTGGGCGAGTTCGAAGACATACCAAAAACTGCATATCAGAACTGCTTCCAGAATTAGAAAAATCGCTGGTACAAGTGTATTATATCTGACGGGGTCAACAACGATGATAATAAAAAAGAAGTTGATGAATAAATAAAAACAATCGAAAATTCACTCAATTTTTTTAATGAAATAGTATTTTTGAAAGTCTTCATTATTTATTTTTTCCATATTAGATATACTTTTTCAACTAACTCATTCGAATATATCGGTTCTGTTTTTAGGTATACTATGCATTTTCATTATGTATACTATGCATTTCATTGTCAACCACAGTCAAAAAATGGTCCACAGTTCTTATCAGCTACTATTTGAAATTAACAAGTATTTTAACTTCACCAAAAACTCCACTTTCTGATGTGCATGTTTTTTGAGCTATATTTAATTCAATACACAAAAAGTAGAAGAGAAATGAACTATTCTCGATTGAGATGAATGACTAATTTTCTCACAAAGTAAATTGAAGAAAAACATCTGAACCATCAACGTAAATGCATAATATATTGTTGACTGAAATTATCAAATACTTCAAATAGAGAAAAAAACAATGAAGATATTCAATAATGTGTTTGAAATATTACTATGAACAATAATACTGGTTTTAGAAAGATTCGTTTTTTGCCATCAATGCGAGATATTCTGCATGAGTAGTCGTAGTATTAATCCAAAGAAAGAAAAGACTATCCCTTCATAAAGGAATAGCTCAAGTTACATTTCGTCAGTAAACTTAACATGAAAAGGAAACGAACCAAGTCTCTTTTTGGTTCATCAGTTACACAAATTACTGGTAGACACCAAAAATACTTCAAGAAATATATCCCAAAGCTGTAACAATTCACACCTCAGGACTGCAATATGGCACCAAATCTTATCAAGTAGATCAAAAGTTTTGCAGAACGGGTTATTTTGGACATAAGAACCCTTTTAACTGAAGCTAGATACTAAATCAACCACTCACAACAACCAATTGAAATTACTGGATGTAAAGGTGGTGATTCTCATGAGTCATATTGGCATCTTAATCTACAGCAGCGGCAAGGTATTCTGAGCAAATTAGAAATTGGAAAATTGCTATTGCAAGAAATACTTGTACAAATAACAATACTATTCTGTCCGTTTTTGCACTGCTGGAATTTACATTTGGTGGGATAAAAGTACAAATATTCTATACGTTTCCTCCATTTACAGAATAATTGCATTCAATCTGTCAATCTTCGTAGACCTTAACAACTAATTCCAGTTTCAGGAATGACACCTTGTAGAACTTGCCTTTTTGATATTGTGTAATAATTTGTTGGTATGTAAATCGAAAGTTCCGTACTCTTGGTATTACAACTTCAAATATGACTTACCTTAATTATTCTAGATCATTGTCTGGAATGCTTTAAAAAAGAGTTATGTATTATTATTGGTATTTTGAAGAATTCGTCCTATTCATAAAATATCATGAAAATATCTTTGTATATTATATCTTTGTAAATATACAGCTCAAAAACAATATATTTAAAAAAAAAATGT